CCGGGCGCCGGCGGCAGGCTCGGCCTCGCCAGGACTCTCAGCCGCGGCGTCGGGTCTGGGTGACGGTCACGAAGGCGCGCCGCGCTCTAGGTCGGGGAAAACGCCGAAGCTCGCGGAGTTGCGTCACTAGCCGCCGCCCGCCCCCAGCCGCTTCCCGTGAGACCCCGCGCGCGCGCGAGGACTACGACTCCCGGCAAGCTCTGCGGCTGCCGAGTTAACCCGTGAGGGCCCGCGGCCGCCGGGCACCGCCCCCCACCCCCCTCCGCCCTCACCAGGATCTGCAGGGTGAGTTTTAAGGGTGGTCTGGGTTGTGTGGTGTGTGTGTCGGGGGTGTGTGTGTGATGTGAGAGGAACAAACACTCCGGGCCGGGCAGGAGGGATGAGTCTGATTTTCCTAAAACGGGGCAATGCGCAATAATGACATTCAGACGCTTCTTTTGCCTGTGGGGACCCAATGTCAGCGCTGTCAGGGTTTAATATGCACCGGGCTGGGGGTGCGTGCCCTGGAGCCGCAGGGCCCCGCATCCTTTTGGATTAGAGATTTCAGATTTTAGACCCTTTGCCTGTCGGTGTGACCTCCCCCGTGACATCGTGAGACCCTCCAGCAGACAGGCACCCTTTGCTTCCTTGACCACCGTCTGTGGGCAGGTTTTCTTCCCTGGAAGTGTGGGTGGTGGGGTGTGAGCGCGCCCTTGCCCCACCCCCAAAGCTACATCAGGCACTGTGGCGGTGGGCAGCGGGTCCTTTCTTTCTGTATGGTGCACAGCTCTGGCGCTGGGCTGGAGGGCGTGGGAGGCACGTGTTGGGGGTTACCAGGCTGGAGTACCCCTGCCCCTCAGGCATGGCCAGCGAGCTGATGGGTGCTTACTTTCACCTTTCACAGCCCCCGGACCCCACTTGACCACAGCTCACAAGGCCCCTCCCTGCCTGAGCTGTCATGAATCTAAAACTTCTGCTCTGCCAGAACCAAGGACTGCTCTGAATCAGGGCTGAGGCCGACCCCTTCTCTGCCTGCCTCTATCTCACTGTCACTCGCAAGCATCCTCATCCTCACGGGGAGTTTACTCCTCCACTCTGAGCAGTCTCTGGCTTCCTCCCCCTGCCCCCAAAGGGCCATTGTGCTGCTAGTTCTAGTTCAGACTGGGTGGACAGGAAAGACCTTGGGTCAGGAATACTAAGCCATAGGCGGCCAGGGAGTGAGCGTAGGCTGTAGTCTCCGCGGTCACAGCCGCCCCACCGCCAGCTGGCTCTCTGCCCCTGCCCCCGCCCCTTGACATCCCAGGCTCCCTGACTATTTAAACAGAGATGGGTGCCCCATCGGCACACTGTCCTTTGCGCACTGGACATCATGCCTCCCAAGAAGGATGTACCTGTGAAGAAACCAGTGGGGCCCTCCGTCTCCAAACCTGCTGCCAAGCCAGCAGCAGGGACCCCTCTGGCCAGGGGCAAGGTTGAGCCAGTGCCAGCCATCCCTCTGACTTCTGGGAAAACCCAAGAGCCCCCCATCGAGCTCTCCAAAGTGGCGGTGAGTCCCCAGAAAGTGAGGGTAGGCTTTGGGGAGGGTGCAGTCTAGGGTGAGGGTATCTGGGAAGTGGGGAGCCTGGGGCAGTATCAGAGGCTCCCTTAGCACCTCTGTTTGGGAGCACAGGGGCTCAGTGACTTGTCACTCCGTTGCTTTCTCTAGCCTGTAACACACAGGTGCGTGCGCACACGCGCACATTCTCACTGACCCCCGCTAGAGACAGCGAGGGTGAGGCAGGGACATCTGGGTTCTGGGGACAGTTTCAGGGTGAAGGGAAGGAGCTGTTGCCTGAGCATTCTGCTCTAAAGGCCATGGTCTGAAGTCCAGGGGGAAGGCTGAAGAGGACAGACTTGTTAGACAATCACAGCTGGGGGCCAGGGGTAAATTTAGCCTTTGTTCAGCCCCCAGTTATGTGAGAGATGCAGGGCCCAGGGCAGCGGAGGGAGGGGAACAGGTGGCACAGGATTAACCCTGTTCCCAGGAAACCTCCCCCTATAATTCCTCCTCTGGGATCTTCCCAAGGTCCCAAGCTAGCGAGCTGGGAATAGGATTAAGGGGCTGGAGTCCCACTCTGGCCCCTTCGGGCCCCGCCCCAGATGTGGCTGCCAACTGTGAGATTTGAATGAGCCCTGACACCCGTCCTCACCTGCTCTTGTCTTCCACAGATCGAGTTTAACAAGGACCAGCTGGAAGGTGAGGGGAAGCTGGTCCCCTAAGCCCACGATCAAGGCCCAAAGTCCTGGTCAGACCTTCTTTCTGTTGGCCTAACTTTGGTCCTGACCTTGAAACCTCCCACGCTGGTCCTGTTATGCTCACCTCGGGCACAGTTTCCAAGTCTTTCCACCTGGGGGTGGTGGGAACCCCTGGTCAATGGTGACCCTCCTTCATACTTCAGAGTTCAAGGAGGCTTTTGAGCTGTTTGACCGAGTAGGAGACGGCAAGATCCTGTATAGCCAGTGCGGGGACTTGATGAGGGCCCTGGGCCAGAACCCCACCAACGCCGAGGTGCACAAGGTCCTGGGGAACCCCAAGAGTGATGGTAAGGAGAGGCCTAGAAAAACGTGGGTTTTCATTTTGGAGGTGGAACTGAAGAATGCTAAGGTGACAGGGGACACTGGGGTGGGCGTGACCGATATCCTGCATGTAGAGCCGCGTGAAGCCTGCGTGGCGGGTGGGGCTGCGCTCCAGATGACGCCAGCTGACCCACTGACCGCGCCCTTGCGTCTCAAACCTCCAGAGCTGCAGTCCCGGCGCGTGGACTTTGAGACTTTCCTGCCCATGCTCCAGGCGGTGGCTAAGAACCGGGACCAAGGCACCTACGAAGACTACTTGGAGGGACTGCGGGTGTTTGACAAAGAAGGGAACGGCAAAATCATGGGGGCGGAGCTCAGACATGTCCTCACCACTCTGGGTGAGGACGGGACCAGGACTCGTGGGAAGCGCAGGGACAAGATGTTGGCCACATAAGCAGAGCGAGGGAGGGCCTGTGTCCGCTAGGGCCCTGTGGGGTCCGGTAGGCTTGGCAAGGGAGAGCCACAGCCTGGGGGCAGACTCGGGCTTCCCCCCCACGGCCTACAACGGGTCTATGGTGAAGAGGCCTGCGGATGCCTCCCAAAGGGCAGAGGACAGGGGTGAGGTGGGGGTCTGCTTCTGTGTCACCGGGCACAAGGGAACCGGGAACCCCAGGACTCAGGGTCAGCAGGTGTGATGCGCAGCGCTGCCTCGGCGGATTCGCGTCCCCAGGCTGGGCCGTCTGCAGGAGTCAGGGCTTGCTGCACCTTCAGTGTCCATCAGGTTGGGGGGGGTGGCACTGGCAGCTGGACATGGTCAGCTATGACGTGGCGACACACAGAGGTGAATGGACAGTCGCACACCACGGGGTGAGCAACGGTCAGTCCTGTGGGCCCCCAGGGCCATCCTGCCTCCTGGGGCCAGATTCACACGAGGGGCGACGCCGCATCCCAGGAACTGAGCTAAGTGGCGACTGAGCCGGGGCTGCTGGCTCAGGTCGGGCGCTCGGTGCGCTGCAGTGACTCATCCCGCGGGCCTGCGGGGCCGCGCCCGGCAGACTTCCCGGCTGTGAGGGTGGAGCTGCAGCACGCTGCAGGAGGCCCGCTAGGCGCCGCGG